TGCTCGTCACCCAGGCAGTGATGCTCAGAATGCCGTCGGAAGTATTGCTCTGGCCAGAGTTAAGGGGTTCAGGTTGGGGTGGGATTCATTTGCATAGGATGGTCCTGAGGTTGTGGGAGGGGAATGACATCATCAGGGGGCAAGGTCTAGAGACAGAGAGAACCCAAGGACTGCATGGCGAGGGCTTCATGTATAGGGATGAAGACAGTGGTCAGAGAGACCGGAGGAGAGTCATAAAATTTACTGTCAGGGAAGCCAAAGGAGAAATCTGAGGTGACTTTATTCAAAGACTGCAGTAATCAGTAGCATGCATTAGTCCCCCTCCCACTGGCCCCCCAATGGGTACTGTCACTCCATTTTGTACTTGGTCTTCAAAGCACTTACAGCACTTGTGATTAATTGTGCGATCATCTGTTCAGGGTCCACCTCCCCCTCTGAACTGTGAGCCCCGTGGAGGCAGGGACCATGCCACTCATACTGTCCTATCTCCAGCATGAGGCACGGTGTTCAGCACACAGTGGTGTTGGTACCCCAAGTTGTTGCTGTTCACACTCTGCACCACCACCCCACCCCCACCGTGCAAATTGTGAGAAGAGGGATACTTAGGACCCTGTGGGAGAAAATTCAGGCTGCTCAGTTCAAGTTTTGGGTACAGCAAGTTGTGAGTGGGTGGCCAAAAGTGGGTCATCCAAACTCCCATTTATTTGTACATTACAGTAGCCAGCTACAGTTGGTGCCCAAAGCCTATAGGACTCAAACTCCAAACCTTTCCAGTGAGGCACTGTGATAACCGGGAACAACGTAGCTTCTCCTTTGCTCCCCTTGCCCATCCCTTTGGAGAGCAGGCCCTTGCCCATGCCCCCTCTCATTATGCACCAGCTCTTTTTATCACCACATTCATGAAGGGAACAGTGTTCCCATTGTGATGCTGGAACCCACCAGTGCAAAGATTTTTGAACTTCGACCTCCTTAGGGTGCCAGTCAAGGCAGGTGTCTTAAGTCAGGTTTCCCCAAAAAGTACCCTGAGATGAGATTCATTGACGGAAGTGCCCCCACAGGAGACTGGGGAAGCAGGAAGCATGCGGGGTGTGGGGTCAGGCAGATCCCACAGAGGGCAGCTTCAGCCCCTCGCCCCCCACTGGGTTCCTCTGGAGCCTATGTAATGCCTCAGAGTTGTTCTGACTTGAGGCATACGACCTGAATTGAGGGTTCGTTCTCCTGTTCCATTTAGGCTTTGACTAGGGGGATCACATGTTATAAACCTCCAGGCACTTCTGCTTCTGTCTATCTGGGGGCAGTGTGGGCTTAGTAGCCCCAAGGAAGACTGAGAAACAAATGAAAATTTGGCAGGTAGATGGCTTTCAGGAGCCAGTTGGGGGAGGGGGTCACAGGAGTGGGAAAAAGGGAGATCTGTGAGGTCTGGGTGGAGCGTCAGCACTGTCTGCTACAATGGGTCAAGCCTGGGTCTTTTCCCGGGACCTGATGGACCCAAAGCAGAGGCTGAAGCACCTTTCTGTCTCCCGTCCACGTGCACTTTATCAGTGGAAAACAGCCCTTGGAAGCACATTTCACATCTTCGTGAAGTCTTCCCACCGGACCAGAAAGCACTCAGTAGACGGGCGCTGCGAGAATTGGAAGCACCCCAGTTCAGGAGCCGGGGGCTGAGGCGAGGCCCTGTCCTTGGTCCTGAGCAGCCGCTGGAGACTGGCTCAGGAAGCTGTGTGAATGGAATGGAAGCCACACTGCCCAAAATGGCAACATGTGGTTGTCTGTGCTCAGAAGGAGTTTGCTGTTTGAAGGGGGTGGTGGAAGAAGCGGAGCCTTGAGCAGACTTAAAGGAGGAGTGGAAAGAACCAGAAGAGGGAGAGGTGGCAGATCCAAGGCCCAGAGAGGACAAATGGGAGGATGAGTTCCTGGTGCAGGTGGGAGGAGGTGGGATGAGAACAGGTGGTGGATCAGCCTTGGCCAGGAGAAGGGTTACCCCCTCCTCTGAGAGAGCAGGGGAGGGTCGAGGGGCATGTCGAAAGGTCTGAGGATGGTGCAGGTTGGAAGTGAGAAGGAGCAAGTCACAGAGACACATCTTTTCAGCCAAGTGGGGGAAAGGTCATTGGATGGGGGTGACGGGGTGACGGGCTGGGGAGAGAAAGCATTGGCACAGTCACTTTGGGGACCTTGACTGAGTCATCGAGAGATGGCCAATGGAGGATGAGATAGCTGAGGGTAGATGGCAGAACTTGGTGTGGTTGGGCACCAGATTGGGGACTCCCACGGTGGGGAAGGTGGCAAATTGAGGGAAATGGAAGATGGTTGGTGTGAGCAAATTTGGAGAGTATTGAGAGGTCTTATCTGCAGTCACCGTGGCTACTTCTGTTTCGCACCTACTATGTGCCTGGCTCTGTGGCAGATGTCCAGCAGCTCCATGGGGTCGGTGCTACCTGACTTGCCCAAGGTCTGGCCACCAGTGGTTGCAGAGCTGGGACTCTGTTCCTGCCCTGACTGATTGCAACACCAGCCTCACCTGAGGCCCATATAGGGTACTTGGCTGTGAAATGCTTTGGTCCTGAAGAATGCCACACAGATGTGAAGCACACCTTTCCAGAGCGCCTCCTTAGCCCCCATGGGGACTGAGTTGCTTCATGCTTTGGTTATCCCTCTTCCAGGAGAAATGTTTCAGACCCTAGTGGGTGGGGACAAACCAGCGTGAGTCTCCAGAACAGGGCTCTATAGGGAAGTAGAAAGCCCAGGCAGGTGTCTGCAGCCTGCCTGCTGGGTGCTGGGTTGTGGGTTTGTACCCCCGATGTTGGGGAGTGAGGTTCGTCCCTGGACAAATATGTCTGCACTGTGTGTATGTGAGTTGGGGGACATCTCTCTGTGCTTCTGAGTCTGTGCTGCTGAGTGAGCATGTGTGTGGTTCTGGATCTTACTCTGTCTTAGCACCTGCTACACACAGAGGAGCATAGAAGTGGTTGGGTGGATTACAGATACAGCTTAGGGAAAGAGCAAATGGTAGGATGAAGGGAAGCACAGAGACGGGGACACACGTGTTCCCCCACGTGTCCAGAAACACCCAGGTGACACACACCCAGAAATGCACAGTGTCAGTTTCTCTCTGTGCTTTCTTGAGTGGGTTGGCGTATACTTCTTATGGCTGTGCATCTGTGTGTATGACTGGCACATACCCAGTTAGCCTTAGAAGCACAGCATGATGGAGACTCACGGAAACGCGCAAATACCAATGCTCAGACATACATTAGTGTGCTCTGTGTCTTTGCATGTGTATTCCTGCACGTGTGTGTGCTACCATGTATTTTTCTGAGTGTGTGGACATCTGTGTGCCTGAATACATGTGGGAGATACATGTGGGAGACAAACGTGGGCACACACACTGAAAAACACAGTGTATGTGTGAGAGTGTGTGTGTGTGTGTGTGTGAAAGTCAGAGAGAGAAGGGAGGAGAAGGCCAGTGGGAGGTGTCCTGGTCTCGCTCTGCCTCCTGGCATGCAGCCCCAGGGCCCTTACCTCTTGCTGAGCAGGATGGTGGGATTTGGATGACGCTGCTTCTCTCCAGCGGGTTGACCAGCCAGCACTGAGGAAGCCCCTGAGGTTTATGAGCTCGTCCCAGCCTTTGTCAAGACCTGGGGAAGCTCTCCCTAAAGACCTAGCCCCACCTCTAGTCCACCCGCAGTCCCGCCAGGTGCCAGGGATGTAAAACCCACCCTGATAAACCGGGCTGTGGAGCATGGAGCAGAGAGACCCTCCTGGCTCAATTCCTGGTGCCATCACCTCCCCCCCACCCCCGACTCGCTTTCTGGCTCTATGGGTGTGGACAAGTGGTTTAGCCTCTGTGTCTTGTGTCCTTGATGCTTAAGTGGGAGAACAGACTCATCTCTCTCATGCGGGGTTGAAGAGTAAGACCACTCTCAGGGCAGGCCTCCATTCGTCCAGCTGTTATTAACTGAGCACGTGCTATGGCTGGACCCTCTTCTTAGCCCTGGGGCTTCAACGGTCAACAAAGCAGAGTACCATGTCCTGAGTTCACCTGCTCTGGGGAGGAAGCTGGTCAGTAACCCAGTAATGCACAGATATGTCTGGGGTAGTATTGGGAAGAAAGCCAGAGCAGGGCGACAGAACAGGGGGTAAGTGGCAGGGGCTAGAGAATGGCAAGGAAGGTCATCTAAGATGACATTTGATTACAGAAGGGAAGCTAGCAGAGGCGAGGGTATTTGAGGGGAGGGAATAGCAAGGGCAGAGGGCCATTCGTTATAAGCCTGTTGTTCTCCCATTGTACAGTTGAGGAAATAGAGGCAGAGAGAGGCTGAGTGATTTGCCCAGTCTCATAGCCAGTGAGAAAGAGATCCACACTTGAACCTGGGCAGGCTGGTTTCAGAGCCAGTGGTCTAAATCAGTGGTCCTCCGTCTGGGGTGACTTTCTCCCCCCACCCCCATGCCCAGGGGATATTTGGCAATGTCTGGAGACATTCTAGATGGCCTCCGTGGACTGGAGGGTGCTACTAGCATCTGGTAGGTAGAGGCGGGGGATATCGATCGACCTTCCAGAATGCACAGGACGTCCCGACAACTAAGTGGGGTCCCATCTAAACTGCTGGTTGTGCTGAGGTGGGGAAAACCTGGTCCAAACGCAGGCAAAGTGCGCAACAGAGTGTGACACAGAGTAGGTGCTCAATAAAGAGCAACTGGAGAGGAGGAGGAGACATGACCTGCAGAGAGTCGCAGGGGAGAGGTGAATCCAAGGGGGGGAAAATGTACCTGTAAATGAATCCGTCCGTTACCGGGACTCCTGCGATTCTTCTTGTGGGGTAGCTGTGAAGGGCAGGGCCGCCCCAGGGAGGGGGCTGCGGGTGAGGCTGGTGGTAGGAGGAGGGACTGGGGGTGGGGGCCGACCCTGGGCAGGGTCCAGACACTAACCAGATGACTTGTCTCTCTGTCCCTTTCCGTACCTTGTCTCTCTCCCCATTGCTCTTGGCCTCTCCGCCTAGAAGGGGACAGCCGGAGGCTGAAGGGAGCCATCCAGAGGAGCACGGAGACCGGCCTGGCGGTGGAGATGCCCAGCCGGACGCTGCGCCAGGCCAGCCACGAGTCCATTGAGGACAGCATGAATAGCTACGGCTCCGAGGGCAAGTGAGTGTGGGGCCCGGCCCACTGTCAGCCCTGCTGGCTCTCGTGGGCCCTTGCGGGGGGTGGGTGGGAGGGGCCAAGCCACACCGTCTGGAGCCCTGACTCAGCCTCAGGCCTGCAGAAGGGAGGCGACGAAGCACGCAAGTTCTAAGGGGGCAGCAGAGCACACTGGCCGTGCGGCCCTGGGTGAGTCCTTCTCTGCGCCTCAGTTTGCCCATCTGTCAAACCGGCTGATGCTGGCGGCCTCAGAGGGGGTGTTGTGAGGACTCAGTGGGTTCGTACTTACAGAGAGGGGAGGACAGCGTTGGCATGTGAGTGCCAAATGTCAGTGTTGAGAAATAAAGAGGGGGGTCGAGAGGGGTTTTATCGTGATGTTACTCTTTCCTCTTTACTTTCTTAGTTTCTAAAATCATGATTGGTTTTTAAAGATACAGATTCCTGCTTGATAAGGAGTTTCACACATGTCAGACCACGAAATATTAGATATGACCGTGTCCTCGCCCGTGTTCTCTCTCCCCTGACTGTACATAGCCCCCCCTGGGTATTTGTTCCCGATACAGACTGCAGACCCCATGCCCTGAGTCCGAGCCTCTGGGAGTGGAGCTCGGAACTCCGTTTCTTAAGGGCTGCCTGAGGGAACATATTCTAGACTGAGGGTTCTCGTCTTTGCAGCAATTATGGGCTCTTTGAGAGTTTGGGGCAAGTTTTGGGCCTTCGTTCCCCTAAGAAATATGTGCACCTACACCGTAACACACACACATAGTCATGGAGTCGCACTCATTCCCACACGCAGCGACACGCGTTCTCTCACACATACACTCACACTCATTCTCGCACACAGTCGTACAAGCATACTCTTCTCATAATTCCAGTGGGTTCCCAGATTCCCCTAGAGCCCATCCATGGATTCTTAGCAAAGAAGCTTGGCTTGCAAGTGACTTTCTCATTGTACAGATGACCAGGGCACTCAGAGAGGCTGGGGAGCTTGTCCCGGGTCACAGAGCATGTTAACATGTCTGGAACTTGAGTTCTGTGATTCCCGGTGGGGGGCTCATTCTGTAGCAGCATGTCGCTCCCTTGTCTTAGCTGTCCTCAGCCAGGGTCGTGAGTGTTCTCATCACCCTCATGAGGACACTGGGGCTTGGGGAGGGTCCAGTACGGTGGACACCAGGCATGTGGCTATTGAAATATAAATTAATTTAAATGGAATGAAATGAAATATTCTGTTCCTCCACCGTGCTGGCCATGTTCCGAGCGCTCAGCAGAGCGTGCCCCATGGCTGCTGTTTGGGACAGCGCGGGGATAGAGCATGTCTGCCCTCGCAGATGGTGCCTTTGGACAGCACTGGCTAAGGGGCCTCTCCAGGCGCAGACACCAGGGCGGGCCCAGGGCTGGGGCTCAGCCGCCACCTTCTGCTTTTCTCCTGTTCCTGGCGCTACCTCCCAGCTGGGGGTTCCTGCTGGCTGGAAGCCTTCCCACCCCCAGCCCCTCCTAAACTGGGCATCTCCGGCCTCTGTGAATGGCCTTGCCTTGGCAGATGCTGCCGTTCCACCCACCTCCTGGGGAGGCTTTCCGGAGGGCGAGAAGAGGAGGAGGACAGGCAGAAGGGAGAGGAAGAGGAGGAGGAGGAAGGGAACAAATGTTTTCTTTAACCTGAGAAATTTGGCAAGGCAGCAACGCTTGGAGGAAGGTATCATAGACCTCGGGGTAGCAGTGGGTCTCTGCCGAGTTCCAGAGGGTCAGGGGGTTTGGGTCCTAGTCCTGGATCTGCCAGTGACCACCAGGTGGTCTTGGGCACATCTCTCGGCCTCTTAAGTGTCAGGAGGCTGGGAAACATCTGGTCTCTTGGTCTCATAGGCAGCTTGCGGGGAGCGGGGTGTGGTGTGGGGAGTAAGATCAGCGGGTGAAACCCAGAGCCCCATTTTACGGATGGGCTCCCAAGAAGCCCTGTGACTTGTCCAAGGACAGCAGCATAGGAGGGCATCGTGAAGGAGAAATGAGCTGATGTGTGCACAGGACAGGTGCTTGGGAGGTGGCTCTTGTGTCATTTGTTACCATGTGCTTTAAGGGACCAGAAAGTCTGAGTTAGAGTCCAAACCTGGACCCTAGAGTCAGACGGGCCTGGTTTGTGCCTCATTTCTGCTTCCTAGTAGCTATGTGACTTTGGGGAAGTTACTTCCCCTCTGTGAGCCCAGTTTCTTCATCTGTGGAAAGGGGACAGTAATAGCACACAGAGACTACTCTCAGAGTTGTTGTGTGGCTTACATGAATTAACACAGGTATGGGCGCTTAGGACGGAGGCCGGCACTAGCAGGCACCATTAGTCTGTTATTGTTGGCTGTGATTCTTGTTGTTCCTTGTTGGTTCGCCCCTGTTAGTTGGGTATTTTGCCCCTTGTGTCCAGCTGTATCTTGCTGGATACAGGGGCTGCCCCAGATGCAGCTGTGTCTATAAAGTACTTAGCACAGAGCAAGCACGGCCTTGATGTTGGCTGTGACATTTAGGATTGTCAGAAGGTTTGGGTGGCTCTCTTGAGCCCAGCTGAGGAAGGATCGGGTGGGTTGGAAGGTACCGGCTCCAGCAGAGGGGAGAGTCTTGATGGAGCCCAGCCAGGCTCCACCACTCCACCTAACACCGGGGCAAGGAAGGGGCATAGAAAGGACGGGGGGACGTGGAGCTGTGGCCGGCCTCCTCCTTGTTCTGGAGGTATTTTGGGTACTGGTGGGACCCAGATGCCAGGCTCTGAAATAGGAAGGGGTGTGACTGTCCTCCCCTTGGGCTCCTGCCAGCCCAGCTGAGGCTTACGCCGAACCAGCGGGCTGGAGCAGCCCCCGCGAGCCCACAGCCCCTGGCGCTGCTGGACCTGTCTGCCTGTGCCCTGGCTCACTGGCGTGTATATTCCTGCAAGTGGGCGCAGGGGTTTTTCTTCCAGCAAACGCGACTGAGTGCCTACGGTGTGCTAGACAGTTGGGCTGGACACCTGGGAGGCCCTGCCTGGCACTGACCAAGCAACTCACAGTGAGTTAAGAGCTTCCAAGGACAGGTGTAGAGAACATTGGAAACCCTGCATCCTCACCAGGTCTCTGGGCTAGGGATGGGGTGTGTATGGGTGGGGCCACTCTGTCACTGAAGCGCCTTGGGCTCCAGGCTGCATGGTGGTAGCTGGCAGTGACGTCAGCCTTTGCTGTTCCCAGTGTGGCCCCCAGTCCAGCATCAGCGGCATCCCCTGGGAGCTGGTTAGAAATGCAGGGTCTCCATCTCCACCCCAGACCTCCTGAATTGGAAGCTGAAGCTTTACAAGCTCTCCTGGGGGCTTGTGTGCACGTGGAGGCTGAGAGGCCCTGGCAGTGGGAGTCATGTTCTAGAGCTGTCCCTTACTGGGCACTTGCTCTGGGCAGACACTATGCGAAGTGCTTTTGTATATGTTGGCCCATTTAATCCTCACAACAGCCTGATGACGCCAAGACTGCAAATGTCCCCATTTTACGGACGAGGACACAGAAGCCAAAAGAGGTAAATTAACATGCCCAAGGTCACTCATCCAGTAAGTGGCTTCAAATGCCAGGCTTCAAATCTGGGCCTTGGAATCTGCCCTTAATCTTTACACTTGACTCTTTTCCTTCATTTAATGGTGCATTCATCAGGATTTTGGGAGGCGGACACTTCAGGGTGGTGTGGTGGCTCAGGGAGTCCCTTCAGCTTTTCCCTCCCGAGATCTCAGCAGGTTGGACCGACCCTGGTCTGTCTCCTGGGGCTGGGGAGGGGCTTTCCTTCCCAGACCCCCTTTCTGCCCGGTGGAAAATTGGAGTTCTCTCTGTTAAGGATGGAAGGGAACAGCTCTGGGTTTGGGAGAGCCGAGCTCCGCACCCCCCCTCCAGCAGTCCCGTCTCCCCCAGATAAAGGTCGGGGGTTCAAGCCCCCTGAGAAAGGACCACGAGAACAGCGCCTTCCCACACACCCCCCTGAACCTGAGCTGCTCCCTCGGTGACTGCTACAGTTTGGGTTCCCCAGAACCAAACCCGAGAAGTGGATTTGAGTGCGAGTCATTCACTTGGAGATGATTCCAGAAAACCACGGTGGAGGAGCATGTGTGAGGTGCCAAGCAGAGCAGGCATCCAGAAACATGGGCTTTAAGAAGCGAGCTGCCACTGTAGGCTAGAGCTTGATCCTTCCAGGGACTCTGGGAGCCAGGTGGAACACGCACCTGAGTGCTGTCCCCCGGTGTCGGGGGAGCCGAAGTAGTCACAGTTGACCCTCCTTCCTTAGGGATTGGTGGCTGCTTTCTGGGGACTCTGCTACCCTCCCTGCAGCGCAGTGCTTGCTAGAGGCAGGAGGGGTGCAGGGACTGGCAGTGAGAGTCCGAGAGAGTCTGTGAGCACGGATGAAGGGAGGGTCCAGAGGGGGGATGGTGGGGAAGGAGCAAACAGCGCCACTGGCTCCTCCTGGCTGCCCAAACCAGAAACCTGGGGTTCTCCCAGGCGGCTTCCCCTCTCACTTTCCATTTCCATATCCAGCCCCCCGTTGGGCTCTTCCAGTTTATTCCTAACTATCTTTGACTCATCCATTTCTCTCCCTCCCACCCCCCTGGTGAGGCCCCTCATCACTCTTGCCTGCATGCTCTCAAGTCTCCCTTTTGGTCGAGACTCAGCAGTATGTCACTCAGTGTTTACTTCTGCTGATCCCTGCCATCCTCCCCCAGGCCCCGACCATGTGCCCCCTGCTCCAATGCCCTGAACGTCTTGCACTTCCCTCCGTCTCCCCTGCCGGTCTTTGCTTCGGCCTTCGCTTCCTCTACCTGGCACTGCCTTTCCCACCTCTCCTCCCTCTCCACCCTCTGACTCATTCCTCCTCCAGATCTCAGCTCAGAACTGGCACATAGGCTTCATCTCCGGCACCAGCTCCAGCTAACTGATAGTGGCTGCCTGGAATGCTGTGCAGAGAAGGATTCTGGAGCCTTGTCCAGCCTTGGCAGGAGTGTGGAGGTTGATTAGTAATGTCTGCCC